GGGGGGGGCCGTACACACTAAAGCGGGTGCCACATTATGGCAATCCGTCATATTAGATATCATATGGAAGTTATCCGGACATATATATACGAATATCAAAATTCAATCATCCTCCAGCCCGCAGCCTCATCATCGGAATGCGGTTCTTGAGTCCATATGGTGGCACGCAAGGCAGCCTGGCGTCCAACAGAGGTGCGCAAAGAGGGATATTCCCGTAATATTCTAATGATATCTCCTCCTTTCAGTCGACATGGCAGTGAAATCATATCTTTTTTTTCCTCCTATCACATATATATGTGCTGGAATCATTCAGTGTACTTTCAGACCGGAGCGGCGCAGACTATATTTACGCTTAAGCGTTAAAGATATAGAGTGCTTCCATTTGCCCGCATTCACTTTCCTTTTGGATGCGGGTCTTTTAGCCCACCACTCCTGTATAAGTGCCTCCTCGTGCTTCCTGGCTGCAATTAGCAGGAATGATGCTTTGCGAATAGGACCTGCATATTTTTGTTCTGCATTTCAAGCAGCCCATTCGTCTTCAATCTATATAGACTTATGAAGAGATCTCCCCAGCAGCATCTGAGCGGTATCTACATGACTCAAAGGATATTTTATAGCCAGATGATGCATCGAAAGTTTTATATACGAGTAATACCGCAATCTCAATATCAACGTAGAGCGATGTAGCGCATTTGTGCTTCTGGACCAGGAGTTTATCTCTGCGTGAAGACTCTCATTGCCGGAGGCGCCAATAGGAAGCATATGCAGATAGTCTCTTGACATAATACGTCGATTTCTAATATTATTCATTAGCCATTCGATACGATCGGGAGCACACGCCGACTATAGGATTCTATAGATCTCTTTATTCGGTCCTGGGGTCTTTCGCCGAATTTCTTTGGCATATCTGCTGCATAGAACCGCAATATACTGAATAAATTCCAGTTTGCTTCCGAATAGAATTTCCGAGGCAACATTATTCAATATATCATCAGCCTCGTGGTCCGGCATAGATATTTCCAATTCTATAGATCGGGATTCTATCTCTGCAGGCATTAAAGGTCGAGACAATGTCCCATCATAGTACCAACCTAGATAATTCGCTCCGCTATGTGTATCCACTACATTATATTTGCTGAGAATACGACGGAGCTATTTCGATCCGGCACTCCTCTTGATCCAGAAACCATATTCGTACACTATTGCGAGGGAATGAGATCCAATATCAATGGTTTCAGCGAAGGGCAGATTGCACGCAGTTCGTGATATGGATTATAGCTGCCAGCTGTGCCTGCGTGAAGTTGGGGAGAGCGCCTCCACGATCCTGGACGCCGATTCGTCATGAAGCGGATAGAGCAATAGAATGGCTCCCATTCGTCCCCGTATAGTGAGCAGTTTTCTCCATGCAAAATCAATCCCGAATGGAGCGGTATCTCGAATATCCTTGGATAGTCTATGCGGCTCCTGGTCCTTTAGCTTGAGGCAAATCTTCATTGTGGTATGCATGCTTGCGAAATGTCTCTCATCGGCTTCCTCAAGATATATATTCATCTCATTCATTCTTTGCTGGAATGCATCAGAAAAAGCAATATCCTCTATTATTGGTAGGCAGTGTCGAGGTCCCGTAGGATTGAGAGTTGACAGGCTGTTAACTGCAGCCATAGCTGCGACGTGAAGTCGAGCCTCCATGCTTCGGACCTGCAATTCACTCGTATACCATGATAGCCCATACTTACTACTTAAGATATTCTATTCTCGAGCTTCAAAAAAAAAAAGATCTTGAAATGACTCGGCCCGAGCGTGACAAAGTACAACCTCTTTCAGAATGAGATCAACGAAAGACTTGGGGAAATACCGATTCCGTGTTCTCCTCATATGCAGTTCTATATGCAGCATAGATATATTCATATATCGAGGCTCATCTACATCATATATCAGACGAATATGCTTATCGATAAGCTTGTTCGTTGTAGGTAGTGGTGCCTTGACGCTTTCGCGGATGATACTCGCATTCCTCTAAAATAAATTGCTTGGTATTTGCTACGAAGACGTTGCATGATCATAAAGAACCAAGACGGCCCCTTCAATTGCTTCGTTCGAGATGGTGCGGTTTGAATCTTGCGAACGTGATATTTCTCCAAATGCGTTCTCAATCGGCGGCACTCCTTAAAGGATCGGAATAGGCAGTCCGGGTATTGATATCTGCCATTGACCGCACGCTTTGGCTTCTTGATTTGTTCCAATATACTTTTGATTTCATCTTCCAGCATATACAGAATCCTATCATCTATGAGTAATGATGCTTCCTGATCATCCGAATATTTGCGCGAGCAATCATCTTTCGCAACTTCTGGACTGGAATCGGATCCTTCATCAGTCCCGCCTACAACCATATCGAATAAAATTGTATTCTTCGAATCAGGTCGGTTCTCATTTGAAAGCTTCCAATAAGAAATAATGGACGAGTCATCTCTCGAAGATGAAACGATTTCTGCGAGCTATCGAATAGTCATGCGAAAATCGGAACCGCCATCTAAGATAATTATGGTGCCTCCCAACGTATCATGTCTCACGCCCACCCAGTGAGGATGTCCGTTGCCTTCATAGTGCAATAGGAATGATTTGATAAAATCAGGCGGCAGATCTAAATAGCCTACTAGATCAATGCCTATTATTGCTGCCAATGATCTATAATTTCTGCATCCGAACTTCTTGGCTTCCTCATTGCATTTCTGCGTGGTATACTGAATGGTTGTAGAAATGACAGCCTTCGAGTCTTCAAAGAAATGCTAGCAACTACAGAGAATACAGTTTCCAACCATCAGTAGCTGTTGCGGTATAGGCTTGGCAGCTGCACACGGAGTGCTACGTTGCTCGACCAATTCCCTGAAGGCGCCCGACCAATTCCCTGAAGGTGCCATATATTTTCAGCGCTATCTTGATATTGAAACCTGTCTTCTCCTTGATGACTTGCTGATATTATCTAATAAACGACCCTACATTGCTTGCCACTTCCTTGGATATACGAATTCCGTCGAAATGCAGAGAAATATGTCTTGGCTTCATTGCGATGACATGCTCCGCCCATACCTACAAGATCATATTCTCTACAGACTACCACATCAAAGACATGATGCTCGCTGACGGAAAATTCTTTTCTTTGTTATCTCGCAGGGACATATAATCGTCGTATAGAAGATTCATGACCACCCAGCGGATGTATAATGATATCTTCTGCAGCGAGATTACAGCTTCGTTCTTCTTCAGATTTTTTGGTGGTGCTCCTCCGTTCAGTACCGTATTCATGATCTTTTTATCCGAAAGACTTGGTGTAGTACCGATTCCGTGCTCTCCTCTCATGCAGTTCAATATCCAGCATAGACACATTCAGCAGCTTGCTTTTCCTGAGAACTGGCGTAGCTTAACCGCGAACCTTCCAGGCGCACTCTAGTCGGTGCTTTTTACCGGAGCTAGGAAAACCTCGCCGAAGCTGCTCGCACGCCTCACAACGCCTGGCATCCCCTTTGGGGAAACCAGGGTACCTAACACCTTCGGCGTTGGGTCTGCCGTTGTGCAACGGAGCGTCTTCCCCTGGGGAGACCTCAAGAAAACCCTGCTTGCTCCGCCTACCGGACGACGGCGCCTGACCCTCAACAACTTTGGCCTTGGCTTTGGGAGTGGGCCCAGTTTGCGCTTTCGGCATACCGGCCGCCGATGCCTTTGCCTTAGGCGCTTGCTCGCTGGATGCCACTTTCTTTCCAATGTCGTTATATGAGGTGGATGATGGCTCCGCCTTCATATCATCGGAAACCATATCACTATCACTATCGGAAGAAGTATCGCACAGCACTGAGCTGCCGTCTGACACCTCCTCCGACAGCGCACCGCCTAGTTCCTTCCCCTTCGCCTCCAGTTTGCGTAATTGACCTCTAGTCTTCTTGACGCCTTTGCTACGCTTTCGAATAATTTCGCGTAGATCCCCCACGCCACGCTGGAATTGCGCACGGGTCACTCGCAGAGCCCGCTTGCACGCGTCGATTCCGCCAAGAGGCATGTTGGATGGAGTGAGGTGTTGCACACGGAGAAGCAGAATATACTTCTTGCCGAAATGTCATGGATGCATACAC